ATGTTACTGGGCTAGTGCTGTACCGCATGTGGAAGATGCAAAATTAGCACACTTTCATTTAACATGCACGCAATGTTGTTGTCATATGGCACCTCAAATGCCAAACTCAGATTTGCTGGAATGGAGTGGTGCATTTGAATCTCAATTGTTGCAAAGAGAGCCGGTAATACAAGCATAGAAAATTAAAATGCACCACTTGTGTCAAACACAGCAGAATCATTGTTTGTTTATTTTAAAGACGCTAATAAAAGAGATTAATGGCGTTGCTTGATAATGAACCAATCTGCTGCTAGACAAGCTGCTGAAAGGAGAGAAGGCTGTTACAGGCTCAGCACCAGACCTCCAGCCTCCCGGAGTCTTGTGCACGTGCCAACCGGAATCCTTTATGCCATGATTATCATGTCATTTCCAAATTTAGGTTAATTTTATTTCATGCCCAAGCTAGCTGGAAAAAAATATTACTCTTTCCTCTTTGTTGGTTAAGAGGGGATGGATGGATGGATGGATGGATGGATGGATGGATGGATGGAAAGAGAGGGAGGGAGGGAGGGAGGGAGGGAGGGAAGGAAGGAAGGAAGGAAGGAAGGAAGGAAGGAAGGAAGGAAGGAAGGAAGGATTTCTGATGTCCCTTGCCAGCTTCTCATGAAGATACTCAATGGTGAAACTAATAAGAAGTCAAAAGTCACTCCCATTTTACTGCTTTTTATTTTACCCATGGTCAACTCTGGCAGTGTTTATAGGAATATAATTTTACTGAATCTGATGATTTAGGAATTTGGGAGTTTCTTATGAAATTCTTATGAAATGGGGAGTGTGGTGGCTCAGTGGCTAAGATGCTGAGCTATTCGATCAAAAGGTCGGCAGGTTTTGAATCCCTTGTGCCATGTAACAGGGTGTTCTCCCATTACTTGTCCCAGCTTCTGCCAACCTAGCAGTTCAAAAGCACATAAAAATACACGTAGAAAAATAGGAACCATCTTTGGGGGGAAGGTAGCAGTGTTCCGTGCCCCTTTGGCATTTAGTCATGCCGGCCACATGACCACAGAGACGTCTTTGAACAGCGCTGGCTTTTCAGCTTTGAAACAGAGATGAGCACCGCCCCCTAGAGTTGGGAACGACTAGCACATATGTGCGAAGGGAACCTTTACCTATGAAATTCTACTCAGAAAAGAAAGTGAAAGATAACTTCCTTCCCCTTCCCTTCCTCCTTCCCCATAAGTGACTGATACTCAGTGGGGAAGGAAGTGAAGTATTGAAAGATTTACTGAGAAACTGTCATTATATTTTGAAAACGTTTCAAAAGTTTCCTCCTCAAAATTCATTCCTCGGGAATTGTGGGTCATGGATTTTGGACACATTCGGTAAGAAAGGGTTTTAGTAGATTTCCCATTCCAAATTGTCAGCTAGATTTTCTGGAAAAAAAACCTTACATATAAAAAAAAATATCATAACAAAGGGGGGGGGAAATCTGTGAAGATCGCGCTCAAAGAATAGCAAATAATTTGTTGCTGCTTTTCGTAACCAAGGTGTCATTCTTTTGTGCACTACACAACATGATTTTATAAATATTTGTATTATTTCTTATTCCTTCAGGTAAACAGGTTTTGGAGACCTTGATTTTTGACTGCTCTGTTAGTAATGCAAACAACAATTCTTAAAATAGGTACACAGTGGCCATCAAATTTGCATCATATACTACACTGAAAAACCACAACATTTTTTAAATTAAGGTAGTGATTGTAGTGAGTTTTATTTTCTAGTGTCTTCTTATATCATTTTTATCCAATGTGGATCTTAGAGCTCTTCGATTCCATGTGTCTCTTTTATCTGTTTGTAAACTGTTCAGATTCACTTAGGTAAATCACCCCAAACTCAATCAGAATAGAGCTGGAAGGGACCTTCAAGGTCTTCTAGTCCAGCCCCCTGCTCTAGCAGGAGACCCTATACCATTTCAGGCTATCTACTCTCTTTCAGTGATGAAGCCCTTGCAACTTCTGAAGGCAAGCTATTCTTTAATTGTTAATTGTTCTCACTGTTAGGAAGTTTCTCCTTAATTCCAGGTTGTTTCTCTCCTTGATTAGTTTCCATCCATTATTTCCTGTCCTGCCCTCTGGTGCTTTAGCGAATGAGTTGACCCTCTTCTTGGTGGCAACCCCTCAAATACTGGAATACTGCTATCATGTCATCCCTAGTCCTTCTCTTCTCTAGACTGGCCATAATCAAATCCTGCAACTGTTCTTCATATGTTTAAGTCTCTAGGCCTTTAATCATCTTAGTTGCTCTCCTTTGCACTTTTTCCAAAGTCTCAACATCTTTTTTGTAATGTTGGTGATCAAAAAGGTAAGATGAGCGATGTAGAAATTTGATAATAAATAAATTTAGCTAAGGCAAAGCTGTTCTAAAGCAAGGACTCTGATTGTACAGCAACTAATAAGGGTGCAGCTATTCTGTAGACACTTCCATCGATTTGGTGAGGCCAGAGACTGTGAAGGAGTGTTATGCACAGTGGTATTATGGTGGCATTATGTATAGTACTGGAGAATGCACATAAAGGTGTTGTTCTGTCCCCGTCTCACACACGCACACAAACAGTCAGCCAGGAGTTAAAGTAAACTTGCAGACAATAATTTCCTTTGATAACAGAATTGGCAGCAACCCAGTAGCTGCTTTCCAAAAACTTTACTCACAGAGGGAGGTGTTCCTCTTCCGTCAGATAAACCAAAATAAATTCACAAAGCCAAAGAATTGTCAAGTCCAGTCCATAATAAATCCAAGGAAGGCAGATAACGAAGCTCCAGAGACACGGTATGACTTGCTAGCTGTTCAGTTTTGTCCATCACAAAGCCTGAATGGCCATCACACCCCCTTTTATCCCCTATGGGGTGTGGTCCAGTGACTCAGCTTAATCTCTGGCATGCCTCCTTCTCTGCTGCATGCGCTTGTCTTTCCGACGCTGGCAGGGATCCAGCCAAGACTTATCTCCATCACTGTCTAACTGCTCCGAAGTGCCTGGCTCCTGGCCTATTTCTTCTCCTTCGGGAGACACCTGAGGCATTGCCAGAGAGGAGGGTCCTGGGGAGGGAGGCCTGGCCAACTCCTCTCCTTCACTTTCGGAGTTTTCTCCCTCCGATAAAACGGGCTCGGGAGTCGGAGTCACAACAGGTGTAGGATGTACAGATACATAATTTGCTTGAGCCCAAAGGAGATTTAAGAACTACAAGATTCTCTAACTTCTTTAGGTTAATTTATTAACACAGACAAGAGGCATGAAAGGTGACATTTACAAATTGTCATTTGAAATGTGGCAAGAAGAGCCAGTGTTGTGTAGTGGTCAAGATCCTAGGCTAGAAACTGGGAGACTGTGAGTTCTAATCCCACATTAGGTGCAAAAGCAGCTGAACCACTCTGTCTCAGTCTCCAGGAAGGAGACAAAGGCAAACCAGTTCTGAAAACATTGTCCAGACAGTTGATAGAAGACTGACTTGAAAGTGTATAATCACACCAAGAAAGAAGGCAAGAGAGGGAAGGTATTAAGTATACAACTGGGAAGCAATCTTATGGCATCTTACTTTACATTGATGTAAAGGTAAATGGGATTAAATTGAATGTATGTGATGACATAATCTGCTGGCACTTACTGTATTTTTCGGAGTATAAGACGTACCTTTCCCCCCCTAAAAGGGGGTGAAAATTTAGGTGCGTCTTATACACTGAATGTAGCCCCGCCCACCCACTGCCCCCCACCCTTTGGCCTCTGCCTCGTAGCAGTTACCTCCTTGCAAGCAAACAGCAAGAAAAAACAGCTCCTTTCAGCTTCAACACAGCCTAATTAGCACAAGTTGAATGGATCGGCCTCCCGACTCTCAACTGATTTGCTCTCAGCTGTTTTGCGCAGGGCTCTGCTGCTTGCTGCAAAGAGGTAAATTGCTGGAGCAGATTTTTTTTCCTTGTGCTAACCAAGCTATGCTGAAAACGAAAATGAAAGTAAAGCAGGCTGTTTGCTGTTTGCTGCAACGAGGCAAAATTGTTCAGAGGCAGAGACAGAGGGAGATTTCTTTTTCTTCTTTTCCTCACCAAGAAAGGTAGGTGCGTCTTATACTCCAGTGCGTCTTACACTCCGAAAAATACGGTAGGTGGTTGTGGGGAGAGAAAGAAAGACCTAAGTCCATATGCACAGAATCCACACAGAGGTCAGACTATCCATACAGAGGTCACACAAATTGCAATTGCCACTCTATCCCCTACAAAGGATAGAGTGGCAGTTAGTCTTTGCCCTGCATGAAGGCTGTAACTCAACCTTTGTATCTGAGAAGGCAAAAATTCACCCAAAGACACCAAGAACCATTGGCAAGCTTGATTAAAACAATGTGTCATGTATCAAGTATATCATTATGCTACCAGATACCTAAACAGAAAGATTGGAAGGGCAGACAATAGATAGATAGAAATACTTTCAGATCACAACAATAAAAATAAGTTATTTCTCCTTTAGAATGCCATTCATCTACAAAACACCAATTTTGTCTAGTTAGAAGAACCTCCATCTCCCTAATGAACTTCACATCATAGTCCATATAAGTCATTATTCAAATTGTCTAGCTATAAAGACATTATTCCCTAGGCAACCTTTCATTGGAATGACCACACCAAGTCCAACTCCTTCTTGAGGATACTCATATGACATAAATCATAAAGCAATTAATTAAACATGTTAAATTACAGCTGAATTCTTAACTCAGCTTTAGAAACTATGCAAGATAACATTTGAAGAGACATTCCGGACAATCTACAAATACAATTATACCACAAGTGGCCCATGTTTTCTCTAAATTTATATTCCTCCTGCTCAATAAAAGCCATCATTCTTTCTCAATAAAAACCACAATAATAACCAAAGCTTGAACAGAATGTATAATTCTGAGTTTCTCTCTCTAAAACAATATTTCCAGACAAAGCATATATTACTGATTTTAATAATTGCATAAAGAAGGGGAACATACCTCAATATTGCTCTTTTGTCGCTTCAAGCACAGCTCTTTTTAAATGGCAACATGAACTCGTTCTAACAGAGTGTTTGGACTTGCAATATCCATTGAAACAATCTCGTTCTGCAAGGGAAGAGGAGACAGTGTCACATAAAACCAGCCGCAGATATGCATTAATGGGCTTTAAATGTCCTTAAATGATCAGGCTCCTTCCTTGAATAGCTGCTCTTGTTTTGATGTATTTTTGCAACACACTTCAGATTATGTCTGTTTTAATTAATAGCATTTATGATGAGATTTGAGTACCTCATTTGTTCAGTTCAGGGATTTTACTGCTGTTTCAAAGAAAGTTGTATAATAAGCACAGAACTGTTGCCAACTATCAGGAACTAGTTACTGGAAAACCATTTCGCATTAAGACTGGGGACAATAGAAGATACTCTGAAAACAGAGAGATGACTTTTATGTGAGGAACATCATCATAGGATGGGATCAGCCTTCCTGGAAGGGAAGAGCTCTTGGCATGTAAGATATTATATAGATGAGGTTCTCCTTGCATAGATAGAACATATACTATAGCTGGTGGCAGGAAACTGTAAAGCAATATCAGGATTGTGCTGTTGTAAGCATTATATGAGCTGCAATAAATATCACATAGAACAACAGGGTTGGAAGGCACCTTAAAGGTCTTCTACTCCAACCCACTGTTCAAGCAAAACACCTTATACTATTCTGGACAAACGGCTGTCCCATCTCTTCTTTAAAACGTCCATGGATGGAGCACCCACAACTTGCAAATGTAAGCCATTCCACGGATAAATTTGTTTTTACTGCCAAGACATTTCTAGTTAGTTCTAGGTTGGATCTCTCTCTCTCATGATCTTTAATCTCTTTAATAATGTTTTGAAGACTACGTCAACCCCTTCTAATCTGTGATAGCCTCCTCCCCAACTAACTACTGGAAGACTGCTATTGTATCACCTCTAGTCCTTCTTTTTGTTAGACTAGAAGATATATTTAGTTCGTTCCATCGTTCATCTTATGGGTTAGCCTCCAGACACCTTATCATCTTTATTGCTCTTCTCTGCACTCTTTCGAGGGTCTCAGTATATATATATTTTTGTTGTGGTGGTGGTGACTAGAACTGGATGCAGTATTGCAAATGTGGTTTCACTTGGAATACCCACTGCCCAAAGTAACAGAAACACACACACAGGAAATAGAAGGGGAAAATCCTATTCATTTTCGAACCCCAAAAAATGGCTCCTTGATTTTAAAAATGTGACAACAAATATATACAAACAACAAAAAAGTAACGAACTCTATTTGATAGCACAGGAGCAGGTAGTAATGAATAAAATAGTACTCTTTGTACTGTACTTTTATTAATACTGATAGAATGCATTTCAGGCATACAGTATATAGCAATTTATCATTAGTATATACACAAAACCAATTTCTTTTTGTTTGCTTCAGAAGCAGCTGTCTAATACAAAGTTACCTGTGGGAATTATATTGAAATATGAACATTTATTTTTGGATTAGAACAAATACTATCCAAAAATAAGCAAGTCCTGGCCCCACTTCAAAAATATTTTCCTTGGATTTTGCAAACTGAGCTATTTTCCAAAAGAGAGGGGATATTATTCTAATTTGATCAGGAGTTGACCAATCCCAAAATCTCAGAAATTATTTTTAATTTTATTCTTCCTTTGAAAGGAAGGCCTGATATTGGGGGAAAAAATGGAAAGAGACAAAATGTAAGGGGCATTTAGGAGTCTAGTGATGGAATGGATACCTTGTTTAATTTTACTTTCTCCTACTATTTTCTCATCTCATGTATGAGAAATTTATGACATTTGGAAAATCCCTTCTTTCTTTGATTTCCTGAACAGAGGTTTTAAAGTACAAATGTTACTTTACGTTAAATGCTACTTTATCCCAATGTAAACTTGAAAAAAATAGCCCACCCATATGTGCCTACAAATTTTAATAGTCCATCTTCTTTTCAACTGCTTCTCAAGCCTTTGATTTATGGTCTGGGGAAAGATAATTGCTGTTAGACCAGAGACTGCAATTCCCAAACTGTATACAATGGTGCCCAAGGGTACCACAGATAACTTACTAATAATTCCATTTATTAAATAGCAGATTAACCAACACTGGCCTTGTGAATACTTTGCAAAATCTCGGGGCATCACAATTTGGGATGTGCCCTACTTGATTGTTGTAGTCTGCTGTTGCAAAGCCCAGTGGAAGGGAGAATGAGTGGAAAGATATCTGTTTATATAATTTTAAATTATAATATAATTTAAAATATTAATGAAATTAGCATTATTATATTTTAGGTGCTATCGGCTCAGTGTTTTCTTGGCATGATTTCAGAATAGGTGTAGATATTGTAGCAGGGAATTATACCATATAAGAGGGCTGTGAAAATATTTACAGACCCCTCGCATTCTGGTCATAAATTGTTTCAACCCCCTACCCTCAAAACGACGCTATAGAACACTGCACACCAAAACAACTAGACACAAGAACAGTTTTTTTCCCAAACGCCATCACTCCCAAACAAATAATTCCCTCAACACTGTCAAACTATTCACTAAATCTGCATTACTATTACTATTGGTCTTCTCATCATTCCTATCACCCATCTCCTCCCACTTATGAGTGCACAAGTGTAACTTTGTTGCTTGTATCCTTACGATTTATATTGATATTGATTATTTCCTAGTATGATTTGATTGCTTATTTGTACCCTATGACTATCATTAATTATGCTTTATGATTCTTGATGAATGTATCTTGTTTTTTAATGTATACTGAGAGCATATGAACCAAAGACAAATTCCTTGTGTGTCCAATCACACTTGGCCAATAAAGAATTCTATTCTATTCTATTCTATTCTATTCTATTCTATTCTATTCTATTCTATTCTATTCTATTCTATTCTATTCTATTCTACTTAAGAATACATGCCTGTTCTCTGCTTTCTCGTCTAAAATAATCCCTTTGCCTTTGTCAACCAATTTTTAACAGGGTTAATTATTCTTGCCTCCTAATATTTTTATTTTTTTAACTCAAAATCTTAACTCTAATATTTTAATTTTCATATACTGTTTTATATTTTGATGTTTTATTGAAGAGTTTCTCTTTGAGGGAGATGGGTGGTTTAGAAACGTGAAATATAAATGAATAAATAAAATAATTTCCCTCAATTTGCCCCTTTATGAAAGACAGAGTGAATTCAAAATTGTAATCTCTAAGATTATCTTGTATGATCTTCTGACTGAGAGGGCTTCTTTCTTGGAGATCGTTACAAGCTGTCTTGTCTTTGTGAAGTGAAGGTGAAGGTTCCCCTCGCACATAAGTGCTAGTCGTTCCCGACTCTAGGGGGCAGTGCTCATCTCCGTTTCAAAGCTGAAGTGCCAGCATTGTCCAAAGACATCTCCGTGGTCATGTGGCCGGCATGACTCAATACCAAAGGTGCACGGAATGCTGTTACCTTCCCACCAAAGGTGGTCCCTATTTTTCTACTTGCATTTTTTACATGCTTTCGAACTGCTAGGTTGGCAGAATCTGGGACAAGTATCGGGAACTCACTCTGCTACATGGCACTAGGTATTCGAACCGCTGAACTGCCAACCTTTCGATCGACAAGCTCAGCTTCTTAGCCACTGAGCCACCGCATCCCATGTCTTCTCTTGCCTTTGTAGCCTTCTCTAAATAAGGAAATCGGTTTTCACAATATATTGTGTTTCTTTGTGTTCAAATCACGACTGATTTGAAACTGACATTTTAAAGGTAAGCTTCTCTTGGTTACCTTAGAAAGAAGCCAAATTTATATTGCTTGCAACATGATTTGGGGAAGTACAATAATGAAATTCATATTATGAAGCTTTTTATATGTTATGGTCAAAATGTAGACAAAGTTTAACAGTGAGGTTGCAGGGGGGAAAAGACTCAAAGTTTATGGTCCTTAATAGAGCTAGGGAATTCTGTCTTTTGTAGCATGACATAAAGTGTGCATTTGAAACCAAAAATGTCATCTATTGAGGCTTAGCATTTAAATCTTGACAGACACACCTGTGACATTTAGATAAATATAAAAGATTGAAAAGAGGCAATACATACATGGCTCTCTTAGCCTTCTAGTATTAAACACAAAGTCAGTCCTCTAGAAAGAAACAAAACATTCCACTGAAAACAAAATCTGTAAACCCACTAACATTTACAGAATAGAACAAACTGAAATAATTTCCCATAATCTGTCACCTAAGGCTTTGCTTTGATTGTGTTTTGTTGTGTTCCAAAAAAAAAAAAAAAAGATGTAGGCATCTTCATGGAACTAAGTTTTCACACATTTGTAAACAAGGGTACAATGGTAATCAAAGGCTCCTATCCCCAACAAGGTGATTTAAATACAAAGGGATTCAACTTTTGAGTACATTTATTTGGGATGTGCTCTGGGAAGCAGTGGCTCAGTGGCTAAGATACTGAGCTTGTCAATCGAAAGGTTGGCAGTTCAGTGGTTCGAATCCCTAGTGCTGCATAACGGGGTTGGCTCCCGTTACTTGTCCCAGCTTCTGCCAACCTAGCAGTCTGAAACCATGTAAAAAAAATGCAAGTAAAAAAATAGGGACCACCTTGGTGGGAAGGTAACAGTGTTCCGTGCGCCTTTGGCGGTTAGTCATGCCAGCCACATGACCACGGAGACATCTTTGGACAGCGCTGGCTCTTTGGCTTTGAAACGGAGATGAGCACCGCCCCTTAGAGTCGGGAACGACTAGCACATATGTGCAAGGGGAACCTTTACCTTTACCTTATTTTGGATGTGAGCAAAATTGTGATAATGGGCAACACTGCAATCATGTATCCAGTTGGGAGCCAAGCATCAAAACTATTAAATTAGGTTAAACTTATAAAGTTTGGCTTGTCGCAGTTCTATTACTGGAACTGGGCATTAGAATAGAACCTAATTGCATCAGGAGTTAAGTTTGCCAATCATTAATAAATAATTTTTATCCTGCCTTTATTTATATCAATAGCGTGACAAACATAACTTATTCTCCTTCCTCCTCCTATTTTCCCTACAAGAACAACTCTGCAAGGTGAGTTG